AAGTTCAAATGGCATGAAAGCAGTAAGTTTATATATTGTAGGAAGTGTTTTATTTTCAGACAATGACTGATTGTCTCAGTTTTAACTGTATCTTATGCAAACAAAATAATTTCTTACACTTTTTATTATTATGCTAAATAGCAGTAAATGGCAGTGCTTTGGGGATCTTAGAGATAATGATTAACAGAATGAAAGCACAGCATTGTAATTATGTTCCACAAAATCACTGTCACTGTCACTGTCCTCCTGTTGTTCATCAATTTTCTCGAGAGGGCCCAGTAACGTCTCCATCGTGAGACTTTGTTGTTACTGTATTTGGCATATTGAATATGTCATGGGTAGCTTGCCAGGCTTTGCCGTGCAGACAAGATACTCTCAGGTAGCTTGCTGGGCTCTCTGAGAGGGGCGAAGGAATTGAACTCTGATCGGCCATGTTGGCTGCGTGCAAGGCAAATGCCTTACCCGCTGTGCTATCGCTCCAGCCCACACAAAATCATGTCAGAGATATACCACTGACAGTCTTATGGTCAGTTATCAAGGGCTGAATTTACCATTTCAAATAAATTAGTCTTTTATTTTTAACCAAAAGTAAAATAAAATACAAATTAAGGAATAAAATTTAAAAGTGGAAATACTCCCTCCCCTCCATGAAACAACATAACCAATCTAATCTGTATCCTATGCATAACAGTAGCATGGGCTTGATCATAGCTGGTTATTTATTTATGGTGATGATTCCACAATTGGATTAAGTCAGGATAGTTCTGTATATTTCCCACAGAACTATATATATATATATATATATATAGTTCTGTGGGACTGGAGCAATAGCTCAGTGGGCTGAGCACATTTTGCATTTTGCATGGGGAACACTGAATTTGGTCCCTGTCATCACATGGTACCTTGAGCACCACAAGGATCAATCCCCTAATTCAGAGCTAGTAGTACTCTTGAGTACTTCTGGAGGCTCCCTCTCCCCTCAAAAGAGCTGTACCAATGAACAATTATTCATTCACCTCATCACAATATAAAGAATTGTCAAATATGGTCCCATGATTCTTATACATTATTTTTATTCCGTTCTATCTCTGGCACCCTCCCCCTCCACACACACTCCCGATTTTTTTTCTGTGCACAGGTAAGTCTTGGTTATATTTTTTACTTTGGACTTAGAAATTCATTGTAATTTTGACACCTATGCTTTTTACTCTGCGTCTTAATTTATTCTTTTGTATAAAATACACACTAATAAAATTATACACACCCATAAAGTTGTGAAGTGCCTTTGGCCATAGGCTTATATGAGCTTTTTGGTGATTTTCTTTTTAAAATTATATAAATTTTATTTTTAAAAGACACTTGTGAGCTCTACAGATGCATAAGTCCTAGTACCACATATGGTCCCCTGAGCACTACCAGGAATGATCCTGTAGCACAGAGCCAGGAGTAAGTCCTGAGCACCACTGGGTGTAGCCACAAAACAAAACAAAACAATTAAAAAGACACTTATCTATCATAAAATCCTATTAAATGATAAATCACTTTATTAGAACTTGAAAAATTCTTCAGAAAATGTTTTTGAATTTCAAAACAATAAATCAACTTAACCAGTTGGAAATTTCTCCTTGGGAAGCATCATGTAAGTTTCAGAGCAGATGCTTTGCTAAAACATCTAATGTGACAGTCTGCTTTAGCTATTCAAAGTGTTGCCAGAAACTAAAGTTGTCTTTTGTTTCCAAAACAGTGGTTAGCTAGCAGTACCATCAATCCCCTGCAGCTTCTCTTTACTTCACAGATGAGATGCTAAAAATAGTTAAGGCATTTTATATACATATTTCTTGTTTTGAAATTAAATATCTATGTGTCTCTTATTGATAATGTTTAGAATAAAATCAATATTTTTTCAGCCTAATTATGAGTTTGAGTATCTAGAAAACTTTTCGGTTGTGTTGAAAGCAAAGTTGAAAGTAAAATACATTATTTTATAGCAAGAGAAGACATGTAAACAAACACATTTTCACATGTATCTGTTCTTCTAAGACCTGACATTTTGTCTGTTGGCTTTTTTCCCCTCATTATTGCCAAAGATAAAAGAATTTATGGAAAAAGAATAACAATTTGAGTGGTTTAAATATTATAAGAAAAAAATTCTGCAAAAGTACATCTGAAGATGAGCTAAAAGTCCAAAGGATATGAGAGGAAGAAGATGCCAAAGTGAAAATCATGCCACTCATCATGGGGTGAAAGTGGAAAGAAACTGGAAAAATGTAGAACTTCCTCTTATTCAATCCCTTTGAGAGCCTATTACTCAATATTTTAAAAACACCTTTCCATTTAGAGGTAGTGTATTCGCCATTGAACCACAGTTCCTTTCCTTTTGGGACAGACAGTTCTTTTTGCCCCTTTAATCTTATTTAACAACCATCCTTCTGTAAGATACTTCATTGGTTGACATTTGCCTCCACTGACTTGTATTTCAGTTATATCCACTCTTAAATAGCTAGAATTTTGAAGCAATGTATTTATTAGCATAGGCTCCTATTTTTAAAAATAAAGAATAATTGGTATATTCATAGGAAGACTGGGTGGGGGCTGGAGCGATAATACAGTTAGTAGTGCACCTGCCTTGCATGTAGCAGTCCTTGGTTTGATCCCTGATGCCTCATATGCATCCCCCAGCAGCTCCACTCTCCCTGAGCCCCCACAGTAGTTATTCCGGAGTGCAAAGGCACAAGTTATATCTGAGCATTTCTAGGTGTAATCCAAACTACCTCTCCATTTCCCCCGACCACCAAATGGATGAGAGAGTTCTTAGAGTCAGTTAGACAGAAAAGACATACGCAGACAGAAATAAAAACATGAAGAGTTTAACATGAGATATTAATTCTATTAATATCCAGAATCATCTCCTACTTGTCAAACCCTGAATCCACCACATTTCAGTTGGGTGACTGGGTAAGTTGCACAATTTCTCCATGTTTCAGTTTATCTAAAATAAGGATACTGCTTTACTCAGAGAGTTGTTTGCATACTAAATATAGTAGAACAGTATATTGAATTGGTATCTGCTGCTCGGACTACATAATGCCAAAAAGCAAACCTTGTGAGACACATTCAAAGCATGTGCTTTAACTGCTCTACAATCTCCCAGCTCCTGATTTGGTTTAATTTATATTTGTGGAACTTGGACCCCCTCCAAAAACCCAATTGTTACTCAGTGGAGACTCCTGGCTCTGCACTCGGGAATTATTTCTGGAAATACTCTCAGGGAACCATATGGGATACTAGGGATTGAGCATGTGTCAGCACTTACTTGCAAGGCAGACTCCCTACCAGCTCTTCTATATCTTCCTGGCCCTGATCTAGTTTTCTTATGTATGGATCTATAACAACTAACCCTAGGAGCTATGTGAGGATGAGGTGAGCTAAAATACACAAAGCATATGACTTTTTCTTTTCCTTTTCCTTGTCCTTTTATTTATTCCTATCGTGCCCCACTCACTCTTGTGGCTGGAGTTGTCAGATATTGATCAGAATATTCGAAGGCCTGCAATAGATTGACCAAAGCTTCTCTAAAGTGAAATAAATGTCATTAAATAATTAATAAACTTGATTTTGCAGCAATTGAATTTACTATTTATTATACAGAACTGGGGATGGCAGAGTTAATTTGGCCAAAATAAAGACGTCTAAAAGAAGAGTGTCTGCAGAGAGGAGGAGGCAGAGAAGTCTCTTTTGTACCATTATGCTAGGGAAGGATTTGGGTCATATCCCATGATGATTAGTTGGGGGTCACATGCAGGTTCAACCATATGCAACTCACATGTCTTAACTCCCTTACTATTTCTCTGGTATCTTTCATTTTGTTGTTGTTTGTTTATTTGAGGGTCACACCTGGCCATGCTCAGGAATTACTCAGGCATCACCCATGGTAATCTTAGGAGACCACAAGGAGTGTCAGGGATTGAATCACAGTCAGATGTGTGCAAGGCAAGTTTCCTACCCACTATCTCTATGACCCTTAGGCGTGTGTGCTTTTTTTGTGTAGATAACATGTGTTTTTATGTAATGGGCCACTTGTCTTTCAACTATTTGTATCATCAAGACATCTTAGACTTTTTTTCTGATAAGGGCTAACAGTAAGACGTAATTTTCTTTTCATTGGGTGAAATGAAAACTGTCAGTTTAGCTTCATTACAGTTTCCTCTTAAATAATTCTTTCCATTTTCCAACTTTTGTCCATTTTCACCTAATTTCTTTTAATATGAAAGGTGTTTTCAGAGTCCTTACTTTTTGTCTGTTTTGGACAATTTATTTGGAAATCAAAGCTGGGCTGAGTTGGTAGGCAAGTTCTAACAATATCATATATCCTATGAGAATCAATATTAGGAGCTCAAATTTTTTTTGGAAGGGGGTCACATCTGGCGATGCACAGGGTTTACTCCTGGCTTATGCACTCAGCAATTACTCCTGGCGGTGCTCAGGGGACCATATGGGACGCTGGGAATCGAACCCAGGTTGGCCGCGTGCAAAGCAAATGCCCCACCCGCTGTGCTATTATTCCAGTCCCAGAAGCTCAAATTTTTAAAAATATTGTAACTATCATTTATCTATACATTAGCTTATCTATAATTTTATTACATAAACTAGGTTTTCATTGAAGCATATAAAATTATGTTGGCTTTGAAATTTCTCTTCCCAGAAATAAAAAATGTCACTTACTGTTATCAGTGTTTATCTTCCTGTGGGTAAGTCTGGTCATTTGATTTATTATATATAAATTATTTTTCTAATTTTGTTCTCAATTTGAATACAAAGGATTTAGGCTATGTGCCAGTGTTCACATTATTGTTGATTTCTTTTTGTCATTCTTTTGCAAAATAACATCACTTTGTGGGAATTTAAGTGAATTCTATACAGCATAAGTAATTAACTTAAAAAACTATAGGGTCAAGAAAATGCCTGCATTGACTAATATTCCTGTTTTGTTTCTTTTGCAGGTGACAATGGCCAACATTGGAATAAATGGGAATCATTCTCTGGAGACCTGTGAAACAACACTTTTTGCTCTCCGAATGGCCACATGGAATCAAATCCTAGATCCCTGGGTATACATTCTTCTACGGAAGGCTGTCCTTAAGAATCTCTTTAAACTCGCCAGGCGCTGCTGTGGAATACATGTCATCAGCTTACATGCTTGGGAGCTTAGCTCCATAAAAAAATCCTTAAAGGTTGCTGCTATTTCAGAGTCATCAATTGAAGAGAAAGTAACTCAGAAAGCAGGTAGTCTAAATGGACAATAATTTGGCATAAATATAGGTCAAAACTAAGAAAAGTTTTGCCAAGATTTAGTTAACTGGATGAATATAAGCTTAACTGGAAAATTCAGATATCAGCAGTCATATGTTGTCAGTTTCAGCTTTTAAAATTTGTTCAGCTAACTATCTAATTAATTGCACATATTCATTTGTTTTTGTCAACTGGAGATAAATACAATGAAATAATGCCAGGGAAATCAAACTGAAAACAATTTTCACCTTACCTGTGTTATCCATGCTTTTGGAATGACTCTGTTGAAGCCTGAAATAATTACTTGGCATATTTGCCAAAGAACATCTAAAAACGACCTGCACAGTGAAATGGCTATTTTGGGGTCACTATTCTTTAGCTTTTCCTGAGACTAAACTTAATAGAAAGGAGTACCCTCATGTTCTCATCTGATCTCTTTCTCTGTATTATCTTGTCTTATTCAATATATGCATGATGATGTTACATAGGATTCATTATGACTGATTATAATAACTTTCGCACATAGCAGGTTTGACTGTCAGGTGTCAGTTCTGTTAAGCCTGTTTAGAATGAGTCCATCCTTGTCACATTTGACAAATATGAATGCTTGCAATTTTTATCATGAAGGTCAGTTATTGTTTGAAGAGGATATTTGGGGGGATTAAGCCATAGATTTGCACAGTTTCAATAATAACTTTTTTCTGAAAATTAGTGCACTGAAGAATAGTAAATAATTTTTTAGAGAGATATTCTTGGTAGCACTTACATAAGCAAGGTGCATTATACTACAAACAAAAAACTTAAACCATAGACAGAGGTGCAAAGAGAATGGATAGCTATGCTTTACCTTGAGCCCACCATTTCCATGTCAAGAACAAAAGAAATTATATATATGTATATATCTATGTTTAGGCATGTGTACAACCATTTATATGTATATATACATACATATATACATATATATACACACACATTGAATGTTAAAACACCCTGAAACTAATGTGTTTGTGTGTTCCAACATGCACAGACACACAGGAATCAGATATTTCTGTGCGTATTATCATAGTAGGTTCATGAAATTTTTAAGATGGCATCTTCTACAATTAGTCATGGTATTTGGGAGAATCTTCATAATAGTTAACCAGAGACATAAAAGGATTTAAAAAAAATCTCCAGATTTCACAGTAATGCTTTAGACTTTTACTCTACATGATTATATAAATCAAACGAAAGTATTTTAATTATCTTCTAAGTATCCTGGGTCTATCATTATCAGGGAGTTTTGCTGTATAACAGGAGAATTTATTTCTGCAACAGAGGTCTTTATTTTTATTAACTGGAGTTCATTTTTTAAATTTATCTCACTGGGGGTTTGAACAATAGTACAGTGGATAGGGTGCTTGGCTTGTACACAGTCAACCCAGTTCGATCCCCAGCATCCTATATGATTCCCTGAGCACCACCAGGAGTAATTCTTGAGTGAAGAGACAAGAGTAACCCCTGAAACAAAATAAATTAAAAATTAAGTTATTAAGTGGCCTTGAAACAAAATAAATTAAAAATTAAGTTATTCATAAAGCGTTTCATTCAAATAAATTTGTATTTTGTTCACAAAGGATTTGGTTTTGACAGATATTTTACATTGGAAAAAAGTTGTTAACTTTCATGAATTTTGAAACATTATTGGACAAATTAAAATGAATTAGTTTCAATAAATACTTAAAGGCAAACATTCCCACTAGCACTTTAGAAGGAAAACACACTGGCATACAATATTCATAATTTAAGAACAGAGAATTATACTCACATAAATTTATTTTTCTGATATAGAAATGCTTGATAAACACTTGCCAAACTAAATTACAACAGACAAGATTTTATTAATTCAGAACTAGCATGGTATTGCAAGTTTTTTTAAATTTTTAAATTTAAACCAAGAAATACATATTGGTATACACATTTCTGTATATTTAAAAGAAAAGGCAGTCTACCTTGTGTTTACTGTTATATATATGTTCTCATGTATTTTAAAAGCACTTAAACCTCAGAAGAATGTATATAGTTGTTCTTCTAAGTTCTAACTCAGCAAAGCTTAGATATACTTACTTACATAACGAATTTGTTGATGTTCTATGGGCTGAGGCAGGAACAAGGAGTAGAAACCAAAGCCTTTGTTTTTGTGCAGGATAAGGTACTGCAGTGAACACTTCCATGCTTAGTGACTGGGGAACATTGTAGAGGTCAAGTTCTCATCTGAGCTCCAAATTCCTTCTAATGGATGCTTTTAATTATATGGCAGATTTGCTCTACTGTATTTGCCATCAAGGTCCTGTGTCTTCATTGAGGAGTTAATGTGGCATTGATCAGAAATTATGAATCTATGTATTCTGGAAGAGGTTTCTGAATTATCTATTTGATCATAGGTTTAGAGTAACTAAGTCTAAGTGAATTTTTTGATATTGCTAAATCAAAGAGGTAGGCACCAAGGACTGAAAATAATTAATCAATATATGCACATAGATAGTTTTATGCCTTCAATCAAAGGTAAATAAGCAAAGTTGACACAACAATGTTCATACCTAACTTCAGAATTGTGTTATTATATGTTTTAGTGTAGTTTTGAGGCTTATTGTATAAATTAATTATAAGTGAAAAATCCACAAATAACATTCATTCAAAGTGGAAGTATATTTCTTAAGATTTATGGAAAGTGAAGTAATACAAATAGTTTTGAACAAGTTTACCAATTTTGAAGTTTTAAGCTCTATTTTGAAATTTATGATTATCAAAAAGTTACTGAATTTTCCTTCTCTTTAGATAAAATATTATTCAAGTGTTACGTGAGGATAAAATATATGAGTACTTATGTTTTTATTTTATGCAAATAATTTGAAAAGCCCAATTATTTTCTGATGTTAGTAAATTAAGAAAATGAGACCTATAAAAATCCCACTTTAAAAAAATGAAGAATACAAAGTCAGTATGTTGATTCATAATTAGCTGTAGTTTTATTCACAAATATCAGATCTTTTACTGATGGGTTTAATTCTGTTAGAAATGTGTTCAAAATTTTTTTTCAATGCAATAGTACAGCGGGTAAGGCGTTTGCCTTGCACGCAGCCAACATGGCCTACCGGAGTTCGGTTCCTCCGCCCCCTTGGAGAGCCCCGCAAGCTACCGAGAAGTATCTCTTCTGCACAGCAAAACCTGGCAAGCTACCTGTGATGTATTTGATATGCCAAACACAGTAACAAGTCTCACAATGTTTCTGGGCCCACTCAGCAAATCAATGAACAATAGGAGGACAGTGACAGTGACAGGTACAAAGTCGTTTGTAGTGATTTATACTGCTAAAGTGGAAAATATTTAGAAATTAGTGCACACACAGTGCTGTATCTATTTTACATAATAAATCATCTTGTTTGCTCATTTTCAGACTTCAAAGGAAAAAAGGTTTTATTTTTGCACTAATCTGAATTTCAAACCTAAATTAGAGCACATGTTAAATACATAGAGTGAACTTTCTGTGCCTAGTTTTGCATATTTCACGATGGTTGTTTCAAATGAATAAACTAGAAATACAAAGGATAAAAATGTGCATTTTCTTACTTCTTCATATAGGTTTCAGAATATTTTACCAGCTGATGATGTTGGATTTCAACTTGCTACTGACATATTCCAACAGTACATAAATGTTTTGTGTGAATAAATGTATATTGTGCCCTTCTTGTTGGATTGTGTGAGAGATTAGTGATATGTATATTTTGTTGCCTGCATCAACAAACAACTCATGTAATTTTAGTGCCAGTGTAGGACTTCAAAGAAATGATTACTCAATAAAGTTGTGTTGTGTTTATTCAGAGTGCTTTTTTGAGAAAAGTTTAAAAAATATCTGGTCACTTAATCCTAACCTGACATCATGACATCATCAGCTGCTATTAGATTGGAAGCTTTTTTCCCAGGACTATTTTTTGTTCTCCTTTTCCTACCCACACTTATGTGACATCTGCTTTCTATTTCTCCTGATGAAGCATATCTAGGCAGGCTATAATTCTGATAGAAATATAATCACTTTTTTCCTAAAACGTTGTGGCTTATTTGTGTGATATTAGAGATGTCTTTGATAATGACTCCCAGATTTCAGTGACACAAACACACAGTGGTCTGCACTGCACCAATGGCCTTTGTTTAGAAAAAGTGTTTCCCTCATTACAGTTACCCAGAGACCAGAGTGTAGCCATCATCTTATAAGTTGCTATTTGCTATATTATAGGGAAAAATACTTTGTGATAAATCAGCAATTACTATTAGATCTTCTACCTAGAGGTAGTTCTGTACTTTTGATAACACATCTCTGGCTAGAGCAAGAAACATGGCTCTGCTAACTTAAAGTGAAACAGATAGGTGAGATACAATTCAGTAAGTTGTCCAGGTAGAAAATACGATAATAGATGGACAGAATTGAGTATTTTCATATTAGGTAATTTATTTTCATAGTTGTCTTCCTAACATAACTAAAAATTAAAAATGCTGCAATTTTTCAAGAAATTTAGAATGTCTATGGAAAACAAGGCAATGAACAATTTTGAAGTAAAAAAAAACCTTTCAAAACTCTATGGGGTGAAAACATTAATGACTCATTCTCTTAAGTAGCTAATGGATAATTTTAAGTGAAAGGTGGAGTGATTTCTACACATATTTTGCATGTTTTTGACAAGCAATAGAACTTTTTTGTCTTATTTTTACTTTAGTTTTTGGTTTAGGGTCACATTCAGGGATTCTCAGGGAATACTCCAGGCTTTGTTCTGGGTTCTTTCCCTGTGGTCCTCAGGAAATCACTCAGTGCCAAGGACAGAACTTAGGCTTTCAATGTGAAAAGCATGTGTTCACCTTGTTCATCTATATATCTCCAACCCAATTAATAGAACTTTTTGATGATAATACAGTAGGAAATAAAGTTAAAATTTTTTAAATTATATGAAGTAATTTCTATACAATACTCAAGTATTGTCTGGTATGCAACAACATTGCATGAAATGGTTGTTTTCCTAACACTTCTGATAGTCTAAACTATATTTTTGTCTTTGTACTTTCAGTTTCCTTATACGGTTCGTATTTACCTTGATATATCCCATTCTACAAAATTATATAAAGCTGTCATAAAATTTGAGGTGTAGAGCAAGATTTAACCTTATTTCTTTTCTGTTATTTTGCTATATGTAACTATTAATAATATTCATATATAGATTCATAGATCCCAAGTGTTTTGTTTAAAGTTGCTACATGAGTTATTGCAAAGATTTTCTGACAAAGGTGACTTTACACCTTGCAAAAATATTACTAGAAACAGTATTACAAACAGTGACTAGAAAGTATTTAAAACTCTTTTTTGATACCAAAATTATCTTATTTATTAAAGCATATTTTAGTCAACAGTTTAAATGTTCTATGAATATTAATGAAGATTTAAAAAATGTATTTACTGTATTCATCGTAAAGAAGATCTGGAATTATTGAAGTATACTACATTTTGGATACATAGTTACATGTTCCATTTTCACTTATAAGTAGATAAAAACTACTAGGATTTCATATTTAATATCATTTGAGTTGTTTTCAATGTCTAATGGAAATCCCTAAATTAATAAACTATTGTGTTGATTTTTCACAGTAAACATACATAATCCTGACCTACTAGAAACTTATGTTTTAATTTTTTATATATTTTGGCCTTCCTTGAAGTATTTGGAGGCCTGGGGGCCACTCTCAGCAATTACTGGGAACACCATGACTGTGTATGTAAGGTTTCTTTGCTGCACCCAGCAATATTTAGGGACTCTGGGAACTTAACTATGGTTGGCCACATGCCTAGTATGAACCATACTCCTGCACTATCTTCTGACTTCCTATATTTCTAGGTTTTTTAAAAATTCATACTATGCAATATTATTTTGAAATATTTTTATTCTATGCTTTATGTCAGTACACAATATTTTTAGCAGCTATATTATCTTACATAATATAAAATGTCACATTTTAAATAACAATTTTCCTATTAAGGGAAAGTTTTTCTTCAGCACTTTCCTCTTTTACTTTTTGTAAACAATTTTTATTGAGGTAACAGGATTTGAAATACCTTTAATTACACTAGTTATTTCTTTCTTGCAAATAATGTTATTTTAATATGCACATCCTCTTGCCTTTTTTGGATTTTTTGGAGTTGCAGGGTTAAGGCATGCACATTTTCTTTCTTTTTTAATTTAGTTTTTTAAAATTTTATTTTCCCTTACACTATACATAAACAACGTCATTTGCAAAGTTGTTCATGATGATTTGTTACCGACATTCAATATTCCAACACCAATCCCATACCATTATACCTATACCTTCCCTTCACCATTGTCTCTAATTTTCCCAATGATCCCTTAAACCTATTCCCAAAGCAGGCCATCAATAATTTATTTTATATTGCTTGTTATAAATAATTTGCTAACAATTGTCAAAAATTGTTTTGTTAGAAGAAAGTTAGGGAAAATTATTGTATCTCACCAAGAGTGATTACTTCCTCATATAAGAGATTACTAAAATGTTTTTACAGGTTAAGTCTTCTGTGTCTATATTTTATTAATGGCTGGTTGACTTCTATATTATATCCCATCCAATCTGGTATGCTACTTATGGATTATCAGTGTTTGAGATGTCATGGAGCTGTGAAGGTGGATGCATGCTCCAGGAGGTCAACAATTATTTTTTAAATTTTTTTTTAAGATCTATGTTTTTTTTTTTTTGTGAGACATCATGAGGTACAGTTGTAGACTTACAAATTTTTGTGCTTGGGTTTCAATTATACAATGATCAAATACTCATCCCTCTACCAGTGCCCATTTCCCACCACCACGGATTTCAGTATCCCTCCCACCCCCCATCCCCCCGTCCCACCCTGCCTCTGTGGCAGGGCATTCCCTTTTGTTCTCGCTCTCTTATTGGGTGTTGTGGTTTGCAAAAGAGGCAGTGGGTGACAATCAGGTTTGGTCTATAGTCTGCTTTCAGCATGCTTCTCCCATGGGAAGTCAACAATTTTTAACGAGTGATACAGCTGGAGTTAAATTTCTCACTAGGTGCTGGCTTTAAGAGAGTGTGCATAACTTCCGGGGCTTCCAGAAGTACAAGGAGATAGGGAGAGGTAGCCCATCCCCAACTTCGTGAAAGACTAGAGATTTTAGTCACAAAACCCACATACTTGAGTTAGGTAGATTAAATTCTGGATAAATCTTGTCCTGAGCAGTGGAGTCCAGCTGAGCCCATGGTGGCAGAGATAGTGGAGTGAGGCTTTTGGCTACTGAGGCTCTGTTTGAGTGAGCACTGAGCACTGACCCACCTCCCTCCGTGGTGCCCTTGATGACTCGTTTTGTGGGGTCCAGAAGAAAATACATCTTGTTGTCTCTTTTGAAATTTATTTATGAATCTCTGCATCATGGTCAGTGAATGAGCTTAAGACATGCACATTTTCAGTGTCGACTATTTTTACCAAAATGTGCAAAGAGTATTTCCATTTTCTAACAAGAGAAGATGTTCTATTCCTGATACCATACACTGACTACTTCAGTAATCTTTTATTACCACGAATCTGATAGACAATCCTTATTTGTGTCATATTTGTTACTTATATTTTCTTTTCTTAATGAAGTTGAGCAATTTTCCTACTTTGATTAATTGTTTGAATTTATTTTATAAGTTTCCCATTCCTGACCTTTATTCACTTAAAAATATTTTTCCTGGGGGTTTGCAAGACAGTTAATATTTATTAAAGATTTTTTTAGTCAGATTGGGCTACTTTAACAGAGACTGGGTAACTAAGTAACTTAAACAACTATTTTTTTCTTAATTTTACATTTCAAGTGTCAGCTTATCAGATACTGCATGAAGGCTTACTACCCACTTATGTTTTTGCTCTATGCTCAAAGGAGAAAGCAAGAGCTAAAGAGAGGGAATAGAAAGAGTGTTTAAGAGAGTAAGAGAGAACAAAGAGGAAGAGGGGAGAATTGAAAGGAAGAGGGAAGAGAGAAAACCAAAGAAAAAATTGTCCCTTTGATCTGAGTAATAAGTACTTCAGAAAGACCCATCCTTGTAATTCCATCAAAACCTAATCACTGCCCTAATGTTCCCCATCTTTACATAATCATTGCAGAATATGGTTTAAATATGAATTTTGGGAAAAAGAAATTCAATCCATAGTGAAAATTATACCTCTATTTTTATATGAATTCTAGATATTTTTCTTCTAGTCTGCAGGGTGTATGTGTGTGAGTGTGTTTGTGTGTGTGTGTGTGTGTGTGTGTGTTTTACATTTCTCCTTAGATAGAACTAATCTTTTATGGATTCCTTGTTTTCTTTTCTTGTTTTGATTCTTATTTAGAAAGACTTTTTGTCTTCCAATATTATAATATATCTTTCTACTTCATTTTCTACCATTAGAGTTTTATCTTTAGATTTTATGGATGTTGATGGTTGCTTTTTTTTTTATGTTTTTCAAATAATGCTCAGAGGGTCCCCAGCCACTCTCAAAACACTGAACTAACTGGAAGTGGTATTCAGTGTTTGATTGGGCAACACCATGCACTCCAGCCCAGTGGTCCTGGGAACCACCAGAGTAACATATAGTAGTGCTTTGACAAACATGTTGTTCTAGGCATTAATCTTAGAGTCCTTCTGCATGCAAGACAATCACTTTAGCACGTAGAGATATCTTCTTAAAGGTAAAGGTAAAGGCCCTCCCGTTGATCGTCGATTTGCTCGAGCGGGCCCAGTAACGTCTCCATTGGAGACTTTGTTGTTAATGTGTCTGGCATATCGAATACATCACGGGGAGCTTGCCAGGCTCTGCCGTGCGGGTGAGATACTCTCAGT